GGAGTAGCCATACTTCTATCAGACAAACTAGACTTTCAATTAAAGGCTGTAACAAGAGATGAAGAAGGACATTATATAATAGTGACAGGGTCTATCCATCAGGAAGAGCTAACAATTATAAATGTCTATGCGCCGAATACCGGAGCGCCCAAATATATAAAACAATTGCTCATAAACACAAGCAACCTTATTGATAAGAATGTGGTAATTGCAGGGGACTTTAACACCCCACTTACAGAAATGGATAGATCATCTAGACACACGGTCAATAAAGAAACAAGGGCCCTGAATGAGACATTGGAACAGATGGACTTGACAGATATATTTAGAACTCTGCATCCCAAAGCAACAGAATATACTTTCTTCTCGAGTGCACATGGAACATTCTCCAAGATAGATCATATACTGGGTCACAAAACAGCCCTTCATAAGTTTACAAGAATTGAAATCATACCATGCATACTTTCAGACCACAATGCTATGAAGCTTGAAATCAACCACAGAAAAAAGTCTGGAAAACCTCCCAAAGCATGGAGGTTAAAGAACACCCTACTAACGAATGAGTGGGTCAACCAGGCAATTCGAGAAGAAATTAAAAAATATATGGAAACAAACGAAAATGAAAATACAACAATCCAAACACTTTGGGACGCAGCGAAGGCAGTCCTGAGAGGAAAATACATTGCAATCCAGGCCTATCTCAAGAAACAAGAAAAATCCCAAATACAAAATCTAACAGCACACCTAAAGGAAATAGAAGCAGAACAGCAAAGGCAGCCTAAACCCAGCAGAAGAAGAGAAATAATAAAGATCAGAGCAGAAATAAACAATATAGAATCTAAAAAAACTGTAGAGCAGATCAACGAAACCAAGAGTTGGTTTTTTGAAAAAATAAACAAAATTGACAAACCTCTAGCCAGGCTTCTCAAAAAGAAAAGGGAGATGACCCAAATAGATAAAATCATGAATGAAAATGGAATGATTACAACCAATCCCTCAGAGATACAAACAATTATCAGGGAATACTATGAAAAATTATATGCCAACAAATTGGACAACCTGGAAGAAATGGACAAATTCCTGAACACCCACACTCTTCCAAAACTCAATCAGGAGGAAATAGAAAGCTTGAACAGACCCATCACCAGCGAAGAAATTGAATCGGTTATCAAAAATCTCCCAACAAATAAAAGTCCAGGACCAGATGGCTTCCCAGGGGAGTTCTACCAGACGTTTAAAGCAGAGATAATACCTATCCTTCTCAAGCTATTCCAAGAAATAGAAAGGGAAGGAAAACTTCCAGACTCATTCTATGAAGCCAGTATTACTTTGATTCCTAAACCAGACAGAGACCCAGTAAAAAAAGAGAACTACAGGCCAATATCCCTGATGAATACGGATGCCAAAATTCTCAATAAGATACTAGCAAATCGAATTCAACGGCATATAAAAAGAATTGTTCACCATGATCAAGTGGGATTCATTCCTGGGATGCAGGGCTGGTTCAACATTCGCAAATCAATCAACGTGATACATCACATTAACAAAAAAAAAAGAGAAAAACCATATGATCCTGTCAATCGATGCAGAAAAGGCCTTTGACAAAATCCAGCACCCTTTCTTAATAAAAACCCTTGAGAAAGTCGGGATAGAAGGAACATACTTAAAGATCATAAAAGCCATTTATGAAAAGCCCACAGCTAACATCATCCTCAACAGGGAAAAACTGAGAGCTTTTTCCCTGAGATCAGGAACACGACAGGGATGCCCACTCTCACCGCTGTTGTTTAACATAGTGCTGGAAGTTCTAGCATCAGCAATCAGACAACAAAAGGAAATCAAAGGCATCAAAATTGGCAAAGATGAAGTCAAGCTTTCGCTTTTTGCAGATGACATGATATTATACATGGAAAATCCGACAGACTCCACCAAAAGTCTGCTAGAACTGATACATGAATTCAGCAAAGTTGCAGGATACAAAATCAATGTACAGAAATCAGTTGCATTCTTATACACTAACAATGAAGTAACAGAAAGACAAATAAGGAAACTGATCCCATTCACAATTGCACCAAGAAGCATAAAATACCTAGGAATAAATCTAACCAAAAATGTAAAGGATCTGTATGCTGAAAACTATAGAAAGCTTATGAAGGTAATTGAAGAAGATTTAAAGAAATGGAAAGACATTCCCTGCTCATGGATTGGAAGAATAAATATTGTCAAAATGTCAATACTACCCAAAGCTATCTACACATTCAATGCAATCCCAATCAAAATTGCACCAGCATTCTTCTCGAAACTAGAACAAGCAATCCTAAAATTCATATGGAACCACAAAAGGCCCCGAATAGCCAAAGTAATTTTGAAGAAGAAGACCAAAGCAGGAGGCATCACAATCCCGGACTTTAGCCTCTACTACAAAGCTGTCATCATCAAGACAGCATGGTATTGGCACAAAAACAGACACATAGACCAATGGAATAGAATAGAAACCCCAGAACTAGACCCACAAACGTATGGCCAACTCATCTTTGACAAAGCAGGAAAGAGCATCCAATGGAAAAAAGACAGTCTCTTTAACAAATGGTGCTGGGAGAACTGGACAGCAACATGCAGAAGGTTGAAACTAGACCACTTTCTCACACCATTCACAAAAATAAACTCAAAATGGATAAAGGACCTGAATGTGAGACAGGAAACCATCAAAACCCTAGAGGAGAAAGCAGGAAAAGACCTCTCTGACCTCAGCCGTAGCAATCTCTTACTCGACACATCCCCAAAGGCAAGGGAATTAAAAGCAAAAGTGAATTACTGGGACCTTATGAAGATAAAAAGCTTCTGCACAGCAAAGGAAACAACCAACAAAACTAAAAGGCAACCAACGGAATGGGAAAAGATATTTGCAAATGACATATCGGACAAAGGGCTAGTATCCAAAATCTATAAAGAGCTCACCAAACTCCACACCCGAAAAGCAAATAACCCAGTGAAGAAATGGGCAGAAAACATGAATAGACACTTCTCTAAAGAAGACATCCAGATGGCCAACAGGCACATGAAAAGATGTTCAGCGTCGCTCCTTATCAGGGAAATACAAATCAAAACCACACTCAGATATCACCTCACGCCAGTCAGAGTGGCCAAAATGAACAAATCAGGAGACTATAGATGCTAGAGAGGATGTGGAGAAACGGGAACCCTCTTGCACTGTTGGTGGGAATGCAAATTGGTGCAGCCACTCTGGAAAGCAGTGTGGAGGTTCCTCAGAAAATTAAAAATAGACCTACCCTATGACCCAGCAATAGCACTGCTGGGAATTTATCCAAGGGACACAGGAGTGCTGATTCATAGGGGCACTTGTACCCCAATGTTCATAGCAGCACTCTCAACAATAGCCAAATTATGGAAAGAGCCTAAATGTCCATCAACTGATGAATGGATAAAGAAATTGTGGTTTATATACACTATGGAATACTACGTGGCAATGAGAAAAAATGAAATATGGCCTTTTGTAGCAACGTGGATGGAACTGGAGAGGGTGATGCTAAGTGAAATAAGCCATACAGAGAAAGACAGATTCCATATGGTTTCACTCTTATGTGGATCCTGAGAAACTTGACAGGAACCCATGGGGGAGGGGAAGAAAAAAAAAAAAAAAAAGAGGTTAGAGTGGGAGAGAGCCAAAGCATAAGAGACTGTTGAGAACTGAGAGCAAACTGAGGGTGGATGGGGGGTGGGAGGGAGGAGAGGGTGGGTGATGGGTATTGAGGAGGGCACCTTTTGGGATGAGCACTGGGTGTTGTATGGAAACCAATTTGACAATAAATTTCATATAAAAAAAAAAAAAGAAATGATAGATCACTAGCATAGAAATATAAAAAATACAGATTAGCAAAAGAAATGAAAACAATTTATAATCTCACTCCAAGAAGAGTTAATTGGCACAATGCCTGGTGCATAGTAGGTGCTTCAGAAATATTTGTTGGGGTGCCTGGGCAGCTCAGTTGGTTGAATGTTTGACTTCGGGTCAGGTCATGATCTCGCGGTCAGTGAGTTCAAGCCCTGCGTCAGGCTTATGCTGATAGCTGAGCCCAGAGCCTACTTTGGATTCTGTCTCCCTCTCTCTCTGTCCCTCTCTTACTCATGCTCTGTTCTCTTTGTCTCTCAAAAATGAATAAATGGTAAAAAAAAAAAAAAAAGAAATATTTCTTAAATAAATATTTCCTATTCTTTTTAATGCAAATATATACATTCTTTAAATAAAAAATTGTATCATATTGTAGCTACTTTTATGAAACCTGATTGTAAAAACTTTAGCACTAGATTGTAAATAGCTTTCCAAGTCATTCAATATTCTAATAGTTTACCCGACTGTTTAGCATTATAATTTTGGGACAGATTTGGACTAAAAATTACACAGCATTTAGTAAAATATTCTCATTCTTTCATCCATTCAATAAATATTTTTTGAGTACTTACTATGTGCAAGCCTCTATTCTGAACACTTGTATGCATCAGGGAACAGACAAAACTCTTGCCTTTCAAGGAACTTACATTGTGTTTGAGGGAGACAGGTCACCAAATTGAGCATAATAACTAAGTGTTTGAAGATGGATATTCACAGAAGACAGTACAGTGGGATAAATAGTATCAGGAAAATAGAGGAAGAGTAGCAATTTTAAAAGATGAAATTTAAATAAAGTCTTAAAGAAGGAGAGGGATTTGGTTACAGGAATATTTTTTGAAGAAAGCGTTTCTGGCAGAGGAAACAGTCAAAGCAAAGGCCTTACAGTTGGAATCTAACTGGCATGTTCAGGGATCAGCAAGGTGGCCAGAGCAGGTACAGTGGAAAGAGAGCAGAGGACGTGGTTGGAAAAGCACAGAGGGAACAGGAGTTTTGGCATCTCCTCTAAGGGAAACTGGGGGACCTTGCAGTGTTTTGAGCAGAGAAATGACACAATAGGACTTCTATTTTTACAGGATCTGCCTGAGTGCTATGTCAAGAATAGAATGTACAGGAAAATGTGTGAGAGGCTACTGCAGTGAGGCAAGCAGCAGTGGTGATGGCTCAAACCAGAAAAGGACTGTGAAGGTGGTAAGAAGTTTACTTTTGGATAGATTTTGAAGGTAGTGCTAGTAGTGTTTACTGATGGGTGGGATGTGTGCAAGAGAAAGAGAAGTGTGAAAATTAACCCTAGGCATTTGGGCTGAGCAACTGGAAAGGTAGAGTTTCTTTGTATTAAGACAGGAAAACCGTGGGTGGGGCAGATTTCAGGATTCAGTTTGGGGTATGTGAAATTTGAGATGTTTATCAAACATTCAAGTGGAGATATTGAGGATGTAGTTGGATTTAAGAGTTTGGAATTCAGGAGGAGTTCAGGAAATATGAGTCCAAGCTGGAGATCAAGTTTGGGAGTCACGGACATAAAGATGGTTTTTAGGTCAATGGACGAGGTGAGATCACATAGGTGTAAGTGTAGGAAAAAGAGAGAGAGAGAGACAGAGGCAGAGACAGAGAATCCAGAGGGCTGAGGCATTCCAACATTACCATGTCCACCATGAGAAGATGAAGACCTAGCAGAAAAGACTTAATGGGAATCCCTGGTGAGCTAGAAGGAAAACCATGTGTGTGGGGCCCCCCCCGCCCCGCCCCAGTCCAGGAAGTCATAAAGAAAATGCATTTAAAAAGAAAGGTAGGATTATGTCAACTGCTGCGAACAGGATCACTGCTACTAGTCAAGATCTTTGTGTGAGGTAGGAAAAGTCACCCCCTCCAGGTGGTAAGACCAGTGGGGACTAAACTGACGTCCACCCATCCCCTTTTCCAGGAGCCAGGTACAGGTACAGCTGCACAACTGTATGTAGTATCCCTCACCAATGGTGGGAAAGATAAGGTCCAAGAATTAACCACTGAATTTAGCAACACGGATGCCACGGATGCCCTTGACAGGAGGGATTTTGGAGGAGTGGTGGTTATAAAACCATCAATGTTAAGGGTTTAAGAGAGAATGAGAGCAGACGAATTAGAGACAGTGAAAACAGATAGCTCTTTGGAGGAGACGTGCTACAGAGAGGAGCAGAGAAGTCAGACAGTAGCCGGTGGGGGGTAGAGGGTCCGAGCAAAGGAAGGGACAGTGTATTTGTGGGCTAATGGGACCGAGACACGGTATCATCCTCTTGCCTTGACCACTGCAGTGACTTTCTGTTTTCTTACATCCACTCTTGGATCCTGCAGTCTTTTCTCCAAATATCCCCTTGGTGTGATCCTCTTAGATCATAAATTCAATAATGTCATAATCTCTTCCCATCACACTTAAAATGAAATCCAGAGTCTCGACCATGACCTGCCTACCAAGATCCTGCCTGCTTAAGTCACCCCCATATTTCCTACCTCTTGTTCCCTCAAATATGCAGCTCCACCCGCGCTGGCCTGCTCTCCCCCCCCCCCCCCCCCCACACACACACGGAGTCCTCCCAGCTCAGGCTCTGTACTTGCTGTCCCTTCCATCTGGAACTCTTGGCCAGGCCAGTTTGCACAGGCCTCGCTTCCACATCTCACCCAGATCTCCACCAAAACGTTGCTTCCCTAGTCCTTACCTGACACATTAGGGTCTCCCTATCACAAGCTGTTACTGTGCTGTTGGTCTTTCCATGGTGCTAATCACTATTTGACTTTGTGTAGTTCCTTATTTCTGTTTGTCTTCCCCCAAATGTGCAAGATCTGTGAAGACAGAGATGTTGTCTTATTCACATGTTTATCCCCAGCCGTTACAGTAATGTCTGGCACATGGCAGACACTTAGTAAGTATACTTTACATACATGAATAATGGGAAAATTACCACAATTGCCATTATGAGCTCTTTTTTTTAAGTTTATTTAATTTTAATTTATTAAAGTTATTTATTTATTTATTTTAAACAATTTTTTTTAATGTTTCGTTTTTAGAGAAAGAGACAGAGCATAAGTGTTGGGAGGTGGGGGGCAGGTGGAGCAGAGAGAGAGAGACACAGAATCTGAAGCAGGCCCCAGACCCCGAACTGTCAGCACAGAGTCCGACAGGGGCCTGGAACTCCCAAACGGCGAGATCATGACCTATGTTGATGGTGGATGCTTAACTGACTGAACCACACAGGCACTCCTCTTTATTTATTTTGAGAGAGACAGAGAGCATGAGTGGGGTAGGGGCAGAGAGAGAGGGAGAGAGAGAATCCCAAGCAGGCTCTGTCCTGTCAGCGCACAACCTGACATAGGGCTCAAAGTCATGAACTGTGAGATCATGACCTGAGCGGAAACCATGAGCTGGACACCCAGACTCTATGAGCTCTTTAATGATTTTTAATATAGTGGCAATTAAAGGCCAATTAAGGGTCATTGGCCTTGACAGATGAGCAGAGAGGAGCTCCAGTGCACACCTTTCTTTTCAGCATATGCACGCATGTGCCCTGAAGATGGGCAAAGGTCTTGGTTCAACCTAATCGCGCTGTTTAGGATTGTAATGTAATGGAAAAAGGTTGGTAGGCCACAAAATCAGAGATGTCCTCTTTTGTAGTGGAGAGGACACTGGCTACGCATCAGAATGCCCGGATTCCAGGCTCCACTCTGCCAGGTGTCCGTGCTGGGTGCTTTCTGCAAGTCACTTAATCTCTCTGTGCCTTTGGTCTCTAATTTTAAACTTGTGAGAAATAATACCGCATGTCGTTCTCTCACCTCATTGCTTGAGGGCCAAGTGAGATATCTGGGATAGTGCTAAACAAATGCGCATAGATATTTTCTCTGGATGAAAAGAAAGTGTTTGAAGTGAACTAGGCAGGGTGGGGGGAGAGAACGCAGAGTTCTGCTGCAGTGTAGGCACCATCTGGTTCTTTAAAATGTGTCCCTCAGGAAGAAAAATGAGCCTGTTGTTGAGGCTATGGTAAAGAATCATTCCGAAAGTGATATTTTCCAACTCTAATAAGTCTGTGATCAAACAATCAGTTTCTAGGGTAAAGGCCACTACTTTCCACTAACTGACCTGGAAGCATGTTCCATATATTTAATGTCAAGACTGTGCAAGCATAGCAGTTTCTGCCTGGAGAGAATGGAAAATAAAATCTGGTGGAAGAGACCAGACACTCCCATCTAGCTGGGAACTGGGAAAGAAACATGCCTCCAAAGACCTCCTGAGGTGCTGCCTGGCAAATGCCAGCCTGTCCCTGGAGTGACCAGAGGTAGTATTTAAAATGCAATAACTGTGTACAGCATAGTTGCAAGAAAGGAGGAGCTGCCTGAAGGGATGTGCAAGCCAGGAATGGCGGGGGAGTCGGCATAGCTCGGGGCTCTCTTTACATTCCCTCTCCCTCCCCACAGCATTTTCTTCCTGCTCTCCTTACCTGCTCCAGTCCTCTCTTCCACCATCACCTTCCTCTGCTTACTCATGCTTCTTCCCTCAGTTACCTCAGTGTATGCATGACCCATGACCCTGAACCTGTATCATTCTATGTGCAGGGGCCCAGATAACTAAGATAGCCTCTTAGTTTCCCAGGTCCAAATATCTATGGAGAAACATTCTGAGTCTGGCCACATAAATCTAGGGCTCCTGGTCTCTCTATTTTGCACTGCCCTTGAGGGAGAAGCCCATCCTGGACTATAGCTGTGTGTGGCTGGAGTGACGTCACATGGTGCAGAATGGGGTTCTGCTCATTGGCAGAGACTGTGGGCATGGGCAGATTCCCTGAGCAAGGATTAGGAGGGACAGACATTTTAAGTGATACCTTGTATAGGTGAGGTCTGTGTGTGGGTTGCTCCCATAGTCTCTTCTAGAATTGGTATTTATTCAAAAAGTAAAAAAAAAAAAAAAAAAAAAAAAAATAGAAGGCTGTTAAAAGAGACAGGTTCAATAGGTTACCAAATCTCACACTTAAAATCTTTCTTCTTGTCTATCAGTCTAGAATATTTTATGTCAGTCTTATTCATTTTCAAGGCTAACAAACTGGTTTCTAATATGCCAAAAAAGGGGACTAGACACTAGTCCCATTAAATTGTAAGAGCTGTTGGACTATACACACTTTTATCATTGTAGGCTTGAGCTGCCCATGCCATGTAGCACAACTGGGGATCCCTTCCTCTGATACCCACCCACCCAGCTCTTAGTTCTCCAAGAGGCTCTTCCTGGTTCCTAGCAGTGAGAAATGGACATCACACTATGACCTCATACTCCCAGGAACACCCTTTTGGCTGTACAGACAACCAATGTTTGGCAAACATTCAATTCAAACGAGGAAATCCTAAAACTTTTTCACCTGCCAGATTGAAAATAGAAGCTTCATTGGACAGATGGAGGAGATCAGGACTCCCTGCTCTGACCATCAATGCCCCTGATACCATCCTTCTATAAAAATGAATTTTTATGCCATTGTCATAGAGATGGAAACTGGGAATGCTCTCCTCTTGGCACTCAGCTACTGGCACTGCCTGAGTGTGCAACTGGCCCAGGGCTTGGACAAGTACGTGGCCTCTTGAGAGATTGTCTCAGAACAAGAGTGGGCTTGGAACTCTATATCCCAGAATCTGAATTTCAGTGAAACTGTCACCCCCACAAACCATTAACAGCCAGAGAATTATCTTTTGGGATTGTCTTGAAGTGGGGGCTTCTAGGGCTTTCTTGATTATACCCTGTAACCAGCCACTTACCATTTATTTTAAAAAAAGCATGAGGACCTCTGGTTCTGCTCAGTTAGTGGCACTGATTGTGAAAGGTTGTTATGACTCCCATTCAATCCTAGATTTCTGGACTTGTTCAGGGAGGCATTCACACAGATAGATTTCTAGCTGGCAGACAGCCTCTTTATGGTTGAGCAAGCCACCAGTGAAAGATGGAATTTCACATCTCACCCTGGCAGTTTGACTATCACTAATGGGTGTCTTAGAACACCTGAAAGTAGAGTCTTTAAATAATGTTCTTTCTGACCATAAAGTCCAGATGAGGATGAGGATGATGAGGATGATGATGATGATAGTATCAGTAAGCCCCATAAGATACCCGGGAGTGTTAAGTGACTTGGTTAGGGTCACATACATAGTGAATGGCCCCAGTTTTAGAAAGGTTTCTGTTATCATTAAGGATAAACATACAGGTGTTTAGAGTTCTACATGTGCATAGATGATTCACTCTCAATTTTTCCAGCCTAGTTTCATTTCTAACTTTCAAAAGGGAGAATATTGACTTGGATTCTAGATATTTAGGGGCTAAAAAGGTTCCATCCACCTCTCTTTACATCCTGAACGACCTACAGGATGCACTGTGGCATGGGGGGGGGGTGGTGTTGGAAGACAGATTTAATAGCAGAAATTGCCCTTAGAGGGCTGACCTGTGCCTGTGTTTACTCTTCAGACAAGGGACACTGGCTAAGAAAGCACACATCTTTGCAGGAAGGATGGCTTTAGAGGTTCTGAGACTGGACTGTCATGTGCAGCTGGGCAGTCTGGTACTACAAAAGGCACCTGGCTTAAATCAAGTGTGGAAATATTAAATTACATGCCTAGGTCATAGGGCTGGTAAGTGACAGAACTCCAAAGACAATGCCTGAAAAACAGCAGACTATCAGTATATGGTTATTGAATGAATGACAGAATCCAAATCAAACTTTCCATTCCAAAGGCAATGTAGTTTCCCTTTGGACAGTCTGCTTCCGTCTTAAATGTCTTTTATTAATTAACATCGAGAATAAAGGGGATTCTTAATTTTACATGTTATCTCTGAAACAGAAACATCATGTTTCAATAGTAAATAATCACATCAGAGCAATGCTATTATGAAGATGGTAGGAACTTAGTCATTCTGACTATCCTCCTTGTCGACCTGGAATTTCCTTTGTGTCTGGCAGTGGAATAGCAAATGAGTCTAAAATTAGTTTCAATGAATATCAGAAGAAAAGAATCCCACTTGAGATGATTATGTTACTGTGAATATGATAGGCTGACTGAGATGTCAGTTACCCTACTGAGAAGAGCAGTGTATCAGATGGAAATACACAATGACTCACACCTGAGTGGGACCATTCCTGAGATCCATCAGGTAAGCTAATTCAGGACTGCTTCATGTTTTAAAGGCCAGTTGAAAATGATCACTGTGGTATTGCCATAACACAACCTGTCACAGTTTAGAATGCAGCATACAGTTAAATAACCTATCCAAGGATGTTACCTTAATCCAGTAGCAGCATGAAAGAGCTTGTCCACTAGTAAGGCATGCCCATAGCATGGGTGGAGATGGCGCTTGGTGAGCACTCCACTTGGTATTTAACAGAGGAGAAAAGGCTTAATGAGGTCCTTTTTGGATTTAAAAATCTGAGAAGTGGTGCCTGGGTGGCTCAGCCAGTTAAGTGTCTGATTTTGCTCAGGTCATGATCTCACAGTTTGAGTTTGAACCCCGCATTGGGCTCTGTGCTGAGTCTGTTTTGGATCCTCCGTCTCCCTCTCCCTCTGCCCCTCTCCTGGGTGCATGTGAGTGCTCTTTCTCTCTCTCATTCTCTCTCTTTCTCAAAAATGAATATTTAAAAAATATCTGAGAAATTTTTCTCTCTCTCCTCTCTACCCCACCCCTTCTTCCTTTTCCCCCTCCTCTTTTCTTTCTTGAGCTCCCAGGATCAGTGAAATTTGTAAACTCCTAACTACGTTAGTGAAGTGCTCTGTAATGCAATTCTTAGTGCTAGAAATGGAGCCATTGAGCCCAGTTGAAACCCTATAAAATAACTTACCTCCCTGGATTACTCCAGCGGTGATTTGTCTTCTCATCAGTTGATCTCACTCAACAACAGATTGA